TAATTGACCCTCTCAAGTCAAGTCACTTCATGCGAGCTACTATCTCACGAACTGAATCTCATATAGAGAAGGAAGCATTTCCAATAGGAATCAATCTTTCGACCCACGCCAACAATTATCTGGCTAGATGCTTAACACATTCCACTCGAACCAATTCTCTCTATATCCTTCCTCAAAGCCTTTCTTTGCTAAGGAATTGTTAGCACACGCTATCGATACGAATCAAAAGGATGGTTGATACCTAGGAACAAGCGGATCCTCAAGAAGCTTAAGAAGTAGGGGCAAAAAGGACTCCTTTACCGTTCTGACGCTCGGGTGGTCGTAATCCCGCTCTGGGAGGGTGAGAATCCGGGCCAACAGGCGAAGAACACGAATTTCGAGAGCCTCTTGTAAAGAACTACTCTGCTTGCCAATCATGATACAACGCGCAAATCCTTACCACAGCCCTTGACATATGTGTACCGGCACCGGCATCTCTTCTGTGGCTCGGGCAGTCACGAGGGCTTGGAGGAGTCCGGGGCCGGGTCGCGTCAGCTGTCAAAGATTCTATCTACCCAAGAACCGAAGATGACTCGCGCGGAGAAAGATCAGAAGAAGTTACTTCAGGAGCAGATTCGTCTTTCGCTTCTGAATGAAGGCTTCACCACTTCACGCATCTGAGCATCAAGAAGTGAAATAGGTGGGTCCCGCGACCCGGAAATGAATAGGAAGCTAGGCGACACATACGGAACGACCTGTGCGATGAGGGAATGGATTAAGGCCTAAAGGAAGAATGGCAAGAACGAAAAGATGCCAATCGGTCAAATAGGAGCACCCGAGCGATTCATAATAGCATATATAGGCAAACACTCTCGCGTAACCAGTCATGAGTCCGACTTCGTCATTAACAATACATTCGCAGGAGGGATAAAAAGACCCCCGCATTTGAGAGGATATTCATATTCGGTTTTTTTGGGGGGTTGGAACTTCTAATTCCAATCTTCGAGTAGATTGTGTAATCTTCGAGTAGATTACACCTTCGTAATTCGTATCGAAGAGATGAGCTCGCTGTCGTTTTTCATCCAAGCTGGAAATGTAAACTTACTCATTTAATCCTCCATTTGCATCACCTTGTACGCACCTTGTCTGGTCTAGCTTTCGAAGTCTTTCAAGCTTAGTAGTTTAAGAAGATGAAAATGAGGAACTGTAGTGGGATACAAAGTGTTCACAAGCTGTGAGTGAACAAGCTTCCCTTTCAAGGGTTCTGGGCTTTGCTTGCTGATTGTTTTCTATGGCCATGATCGTGCCTTAGAAGCCCCGTTGTACCCCTCTCTAATGGTTGGACCCATTGAGGAGTCAATCTTAGGTTTTGATGCCTTAGTATCGGCCATCTAATCGCAATCCAGAGGTGAGAAAGAAAGACCGGGGAAGGAGTAAGAGCTTGTGACCAATCTTTCGGACAAGTTGACAAAGAGAGCCAGATGGAAAGCTTATTGACCGCAGGCTTATTCGCCTTTCACCATTGATCCAATTTCTAGGTAGAGGAAGTGCCCCTCACTACGCCTGTCAAAAGGAAGTTGCCCACCCTACTTTATGAATAGAGGAGGGGGGCCGCCAATAGAAGTCAGTTAATGGTCCTAAAGGAAGCAAGCTAGCCATATGGATGGAAAATCTTCTTATTCCTTACTTTTGTTTTGGGTGTGACACACTGGGATCGGAATGAGCTTCCTTTCTCGCTCAACCGCTTGCAACAATAAAGCGCGATTGGATCAACAAAATGGTAGTTATCAGAATGAGATGGGTTGGGAGTGAACAAAGAAAGTCCACTTGGCAGCTCAGCCGGTACCATTACTTTTACATGGAGCGGGGGGACGCTTTGCTTAAATATCCGTATAGTAAAGAGCGGTAGCTTGCTTACTCTCCCCAGGGCTTCTGCTACACCCACTGTCTCTTATTCTTAGAAGTGCTCCAAGGCGTCCTTTACGTAAATCCTAGTCCAATCATACTCAAAATCTGACTTTGATCCCGGCGAGTAAGAAAGGAGAGGGATGTGACACGAATGTTCCACTTGTCTTGAGGTTGGCTTGGCGTCTAAATGGAAGGCACTGCCTGTTGAACCAGGGCTGTCAGCCAAGACACCTATCCCTCCTCTGTTGTATTCCAATCCCTTAGGCGGGAAAGCAAGTGTTGAGGAGATATGGAAAATAGAACAAGAGGGTGAATCGACCAAGAAAGAGACTGGGGTATCCCTGCGCTGGTTAGTAGAGAGTAGAAGTTGGGGATGAATGGTTGGTCTTACTTGGCAGAGTACTCCTTATAGAAGGAATGGGTTGAAGCGGCCTAGTGCGTTATGTATCGTGACGTCCTTAGGTTAGGCCGGAGAGAGGGGAATCAGGATTGAAATTCCTTGCCACAAAAGATAGACTCACATACGTCATTCTTGAGAGACATGGGCAAGTATTGAGTGACGAGAGTTCGAGCGTATATGTGCATCGGTAGGAAGGCTAGAATGCCTTGCTTG